CTGTGCTCTTTTGAGACCTAAATTTGTGGCTTTTTTTGCACTTTGGTTGTGGTTTTCGGCAGAACGGTGCTGTGAGATACGTATAGGAAGAAAACTTCAGCTAGTTATTGATTTTACCTTTTTACAGGGTCATTTTAACCACCTGTGTATTTATTTCCCCTTATTTTATGGGCATCACCCGGTCGTACCAGCAAATAAACACCTTCCTATTTACCCCGTCAAGCTTCTGTGTGTGGCTCATAGCTCCTGCTGAGAAGTAGAATCCACCCATTTGAGCTTGCTTTCAAAAATTCTTCTGTGGGAGCCAAGCGGAGTCTGTGGAGACTGAGTTCTGCATAGTTCTCTTTTTCTCTCTTTTAATGTGAAATACTGTCGCAATTGGAACTTGTTGCTCAATTGCTGATGTGACTTCACTCTCGGAGGTGGGGGGGGTGCGATATTTAAGGAAGGAAGTGCCTGATGTTTAAAAATACTTACCATCACAACCAACTTCTGGTTTTAGAATGTAATCAAAATAATTTAGTCAAATTCATTCTGATTTAGAAGGTATGCTTTAAGTAAGACATTCTAAATTTGCTTACACTGTTGGCGGGGACAAAAAGTCTTCCAGGCACCCACACGTGACCTTAGCGGTGACAGATTAAGATTAGATAAATCTTTTCTTTCTGCATTCTCCTGAGGTCAGTCCAGTGTAACAGCTACTTTTTTGTTCATCTCCATAACTGGAAGTCCATAAACCAAGTTACAACGGTGTTGTGCACTACAGTTACCAAGAAGCTGTAGAAAAGCATGTTTAGTGCATTATGAGTTTGAAATAAGTTTGAAATGCAGAGCAGCAGATAATACATTCTCCACCTTTTGCTGATCTTCGTCGTTTTTTTTAAATGCATACAGTGCAGATGGATTGGAGAAAGGCCTGCATTAGCTTTTAGCCCTGAAACTTTTTAAATTCAGCGTCACACTCAATTCCACAGCCTGTGGGACCTCAAACCTTTACACTAGAACTCCACTTACTACAGTTTCTCTGCCTGTCCCTGCTCGCCTGTTTATGGCTGATAAGAGGGTAAACAAAGGCCCTTTTAATGTAAGCATAATCCAGTCCTATGAGGCCATTTGGGGGAAAAATATGCCGATTTGCTCATTTTGAGGAAACGGATAAAAACACGATCAGGAAAGGTCTGTCTCTCTAATCTCCTAATGCTTAAAATTAGGAATGGGAATAATGTGGTGGAAATGGTCCCCTGGAACAGCAACTGGAGAAATATTTAGCTTGCAAGAAAATATCGTCAGTTCCATCATTCAAGTCTCGTTAATAAAAAAGACATGGGTGCATTACTGTTTTCATATGTTAAACTGTATTACATTATAATATATATATTCAGTTAAGATTAGATTGTCCAAACGGGCTTCATTCGCAGCTCAACACATGTCGATGAACAAAACCACAGTATGCATTTCTGCTGTGAAGCTGAAGTCCAGCATGATTTTATTATAAAATCAGGAGCAGGTGTGTAATCCGTTACAATAAGACGGTATGGAAAAATTGCACTGAGGTCAGATGCTGTGTACAGTTAAGAGCCCACTTAAAATGTGTGCTCCTTCAAGTGCTTGTAAAGGGAAATCAAGCACTGTTTGACCAGTGCGTATTTGCCTGGATGCCTTTCCTGACACTAATTGTTGGGCTGTGTTAATGCACTCAGTGGCTGTTGGCCCACTTTCAACGAGACTGTTTACTGGTGGCTCCACACAAAGCACAGGAGTGTTGAAGCTGGGGATGTAGGCCATATTGGTGCCACAGAGGATGTGCTCTTAGTTAGAGGTGTGCTAATCCCTTTATTAATATGGCATGTCCTGTTGTGGGCTGTTATTGACACCTGCTGAGGCCACTCTTCTGATTGGATGTGCTCCTACGCACTGACGGCCAAAGGGCAGTTAGGATTAGTGATTGAAGGCTGGCGGGGTCAGGAGCTAGTGTCTGTGATTGATTGACTACCCCTTTATGGTGCTGCAGTGTTTATTTTCTAAAAGCAGGAGGGCTTTCCAGGGAACCCAGACTCCGTTCCCACCCCAGAGATGAAACACTTCTGGAATGTCCGGTCATGTAGGGAAGTACACAGAAGGCTACAGGGTTAGGGGGCTGGCTGCAAGAAGCATTTGCCTTTGTCAGTAATGCTGGCACACTGAGCAACAATCCCTTACCAATCTCCAGAACATTTGGCCCGATATTGTTTTACATCCTTGGAGCTTAGCATCAGTGTTGCCCTTGGAAAGGGCAGTTTGTTAATCACCTTCTCTCTCCAGGAAAACTGTCCAGAATAGCAAAAGAATATTAACTCAGAGCTTTGTAGTTGAGCCGTGGATTAGTGCTAGTCCTGGACTGTAGGAATCAGCTGCCAATGGAATGAGAAAAAAAAATGAAGCCTTTATTTCTGAACACCATTAACCTCAAGCTGTCATTGATGAGCCAAAGCAATGCGGAACCTTGCTATGAGCGTCTATTCATATTGTGAAATATTTTATTTCTTCACCATACAATGTTGTTTTGCAAACACTGCAAAAAGCCAAGTTATGTAATTCCGTGTTGATGCCATCCACTTTGTTCGTTCCACCATCCATTGACATGTCACCTTCTACATGCCAAAGGCAGGAAAAATAATTTGAAGCTTTAAGGCCCCTTCAACATTTACTGCAGAAGAGCACTCATTTCTCTTGGTGGTGGTGGTGTGGGGTATGACCAAATGGCAAAAGGTTTCAGTTAAATCCCTTGTTTTTTTTTAAAATGTCCTATTTCAAATTTTTGGTTGTCTTGTCTGAGGTAGGATAAAAAAAGACTTCCATCCTCCCGTCAGTGTGTGGTAATTCTTGGTAGTTTTAGATTTGCATTGAAAGAAGCGAGATTTGTGTCTTGGGTGATCTGTCTTTGATCATCCAGAGCCATTTCATCCAGAGAGATGCTTTGAAGATGTAGTGACATTGTCCTTGCAGCAAAAGCGTATTCCCAAATCCTAAATTGGTATGGCTTCAAATGACATTGACATGGGAGCCACACCGTGCTGTAAGTTTTGAAATCTTAAGCACCCCACATGCCCTTTAAGAAACAGAAACATCTAGGTGAAAAGCTTGGATCAAATTGGATACTAGTCACTAAATAAACTACATGTGCCAACTGAGACTTTATTTGTAGCTTTTGTTATGTATACAACTGGCTTCTCTGATCCAGAAGTCAGTGTTCTCCCCTTTACATTTTCACAGCAGAAAGTAAGACTGATTCCAGCTTGATGTCTGCAGGTTTATAGTGATGTGAACAGACAGCTCACTCTACCCTGAGGTTATGGGAATAAGTTTCTTGATATGCTTCAGGCTCAGAGGCTCTGCAGAAGTGGCAGGTGTCCCTCAGGCTCAGTCACATTTTATCATCGTCCCGGCTCTCTGGGTTAACTGTGCTTTGACTTTGCATTGCCTGGGTTGACCCTGACAGCCCCCCCCCCACAGAATGCACATATCTCTAAACATTGCAAGTGATTCTGGCTGCACTGTTAATCTGTGTGTTAGAAGACTGGCAGCCGCAAAAGGAAATATGTACTATCTGAAACAATCACGTGATTCAGATGAACAAACTGGCCCTTACCAAGAAAATAAAAGACCCTATTTCATAATAGGGGACTCAGGAGTTTAGAAAATGTGTTTTAGGACTTCCAGCCTGTAGTTTGTTTTGTCTTAGATTTGTGACAAGTGTGGTAGATTTCTATCCCCTTATGCCCTTTTGAAGCATATTGATGAATGAATATATGTATAATGTTCCCTGTGTCCATGTGCTCTACAAAAGTACCAGTGAGCAGATTCAATGCCAGTAGTAATATTGTGCTAAATGTCTAAAAAATAGATCAGATTGAACATCCTCATAGTTCTGGCTGTGATCATGTTTTCGTCAACTTTGCTGATGTCAAGCTCTCATTTTAGAATTTCTTAGACATTTTTACATTCTGAAAAGATTCATAAAAGACAACTTCTCTGTTAAAGGGATTGAGGAATTAATCAGTAATTCACCGGTTTCACTGCAGGATGGGGAATACAAGGATCTCTACTCAATGGCTTTTCCAGTCTAAGCCTCCATATCCCTTCTTTTGGGTTTTGCTCTGTACTCAAAACGCACACCTCCCCTGTTTATTTTAGGCTTTTTTTGTAAAATGTAATGGATTATTTCAACACATTTCTTGATCCTTGTAGAAGCCAGTTTCAAGTGGAGAGGATTAGAGCAGTAAATACTTTCCCCTTTGGTACCAATCTGAAAAGCTACTTGAAACACACAGGTCTGGATAGGAAAATTGCACTTTGCCTCAGAATGCCCTTAATTCCTGTACTGCTTTTGTTTTCACCCCCAAGCAATTTTTCAGCCAAAGTGATCAGTTTATAAAAGCAGTAAGAAGACGAGTCACCTCTATTGATGAATTCTCATTGTAGTTTCGGGAGCAGCAATACTGATGAAAGCCGATAAGCTGTCTGATAGTTGCGCTGTGGTAGAACATGCTACTCCTGGTGTCCTCGCTCAAAAGCTTAATCGCTAAATGCTTTATTGTATATAGCACATCTTGTTTTTAAGAGATGCATTATAAAATGAAGTTTTTTCGTTTTCAGCTTGAGACAAATTAAACAACAGTTCAATGCTGAACATATCAGACGGTTTTAACTGACAAAATTCTACACTAGCGAGGTTTTCTGGAAAATAAACTGAACCAGAACTCACGAATTGTGAAGCTGAAGCTCAGGGTGCAGCAAGAATTGCCACAAAGACATAACTAATCTTTACTTTTGTAGCAGTTAAATCTGACCTCTTCAAGCTAATAAAAAATGAAATATAAGTTTGCACTTAATCTTGTGTGGCTACTTCCACTGCTGGTTGACTATAATGCATCTGGTAATGCTCTATCAATGGTAGTGTTCTGTTAGGAAACTTCTTTTCCCAGGTTCCAAACAAACACCTTTCCTCTCCTGTATTTCAGTATAACTTTGTTGGGAGGATTCTCGGCCCGAGAGGACTGACTGCTAAACAGCTGGAAGCAGAAACTGGTTGCAAGATCATGGTCCGGGGGAAGAGTTCGATGAGGGACAGGAAGAAGGTAAGCTTATTTGTTGGGGAAATATCCCCTCTCCCTTTCCCTGTAGTAGCTTTTCTGAAATCCGCAACCCCTCCATTGGCCCCTTTGCTGAACTTCCCTAGAGAAGCGAACATTGAATTCATCGGCCCTATCTTTTCCTCCCCAGATCCAATAGTATTTAACGTGAAATAATAAAAGCAGCACATAGAACTGCCAAATAATTCTTCAAACCATTTTAACTCTCAACCGTTTTGAAAATAAAGCAAAACGCTTTAAACAAAGTATAGAAATGGAAACCTGCACAAAGAAAATGGGTTAACATGTGAAGAATAGAAGACATCTGACCACCATCATGTTTTTAACTAGCAATATCTACACTAGCTGTACTTCTCCCTGTAGACTAATTTCTGCAAAATCATGTCAAATGTTCACGTAGGGATTTAATGGCACTACTATGTACTACAATATTAAATTCAGGTATGCCTATATTAAAATGATTGAAATTGTTAGTTTGCTATCATGATTAGGATTTTTCTCCACAAGATTTTCTGAATCCTACACGAAAATACAGTCCGATCAAACGTCTGGCACATTATCAGAACATAAGCAGAGGAAAATTAGCTTGTAAAGTAACTTATTCTGAGCTGGGGTTGCAGTTAAGATTTTAGCTTAGGTTTTAGCTACAGTTGTAGATGAAAGAACATGTTGAACGTTGCCTAAGGGTTCTTGGACAAAACAGCAAGACAACTAGTGCATTACTGTCCCTTATATAGTGGAAAAATGTTTGATCTTATTACACATCTTCAGAAATTTCATTGAAAATCTAAAACGCTTTTCTGTTTTGTCGATGTTAAAGAGTGATGTTAGTCTAATTAACAAGTTGCATTCTTTTATGAAAACAGAAGATCTTATGAAATCAAACCGCTTTTATTTTCCATATAGACTAATGTACATTGGTGCGTACATTGGTCCGTAGGAATAATAGCTCTCTATTTCAGAACAGAAGTAGTTAATTTGAGATGCTAGCTGTGTCTTAGTGTAGTTAATTTGTCAGAGTGCAGAGCTGTTTTATAGAACAGTCGCATGAGACAGGAGAGTGCACTTTATATTTTCCTTTGGGGAAGTCCTGCCTAGAGGGTGAGTGATTTTGCAGGAGGCGGGAATGATTGCTGAATGCAGAGGATTCCCAGAAGAGACCCGCTAACTGAAGATTCAGTTCTGCAGCTGTTGTGTTCTAGTGTTTTTTTTTATTACTGCCTGCCTGGGCTGAGCAGGTAAACACCAGATCTGTAATCTCAGATGAGTCGTGTTTGTTTGATTTCAGCCACACTGGGGTTGTCTGGCTATACACAGGATAGAGTGAATTGAAAAACGTTTAATTGGGGAACATAAGCTTTTGAACTGCACAATTTATAGCCGACAATTTAGACGTGTCAGTTTGATTATAGCATACTTTGATTTTAATGTACAACACTGCACCTACCCGTTTTCATTATTTCCTTTCCTTTGCTGAGGTGCAGAGACTTGTGGCTGCTCTGGGCAATTACTGACACGTAACTTATTGATTCAGTTTTTGTATTGATTTTTTATTTTGTAATTGGAGTGGGGGTAGTGGGGGATTGTTCCTGAAAATAGCAATGGAGCCATACAATCTCCACTCTTCCAAGTATTTCAACCACCTACTTTGGCTTCTGTCTTCTTTGAATGGGATACAGTGGTTCAGTAGCTCTGTGGGAGCTACCAAAATAGTCCCATATTCCATAGCACATGAGATTTCATTACCAGTCTAGGGAACTTCAGTTATTCTGAGCTGATTTTCATTCTTTTTGTTTTTATTTTCAGTCATTCTCATTGAAAGGAGGCAGAGTATATAATTCAGTCGATTTATTCAGAATCCATTAACTCTGCTGTCTTTATTCTCTCAATAATTTAGTTTCTCCTTCCCCTCAGGGCCCGGTCTGCTGGTGGCTAACAGAGCAGGGAGATGGGCATGGCCGTAGAGTGGAACCACTGCCCAGTTGCTTAAGCACTAGGAGGGATGGGAGGAGATTCACAGTTTCAGCTTAACTGGGTAGAGGAAAGAAGTGGTGGTAGCTCTCAAAGGGGTAGTTCCTTTAGCTTTCAAACCATCTGTTTTTAATCATTTTTTTTTCACTCATCTCTTACAATCAGAACTTGGCCACGATATTAGAATCTCCACCCTGAATAGCTTGTTAGACCGTAGTGAGCAGCTTGGCATTTGTAAGGTTTTGATATTTGCAGCCTTCCTACCAGTAGTATCCACCTTCATCATCTTCTTCAATACCTTTGATGCCAAATGGATTACATCATTTAATGGGAGTCTGTACAGTAATGTTCCTTGGAAAAGTCAGACCAAAAATCTAAGATTCAAACTTTTTGACCATGTCAAAAGTTTATTATTCTGTTAGTAGTTCTCCTTAAACTTAAGCTATCCAAAAAAAGAGCCACCTGGCCTAGTGCTCCCTAGTATAATGTGAAAGGAAATGGAATGTTAAGTATCTGGTGGTATTGAATTAGGTTTGTTGGACTTCTTTTTCCATTTTAATTATAATGTACTGAATTTAAACAAAATAATGTTAGTTGTTGATTTGATAACAGACAGGCAAGGGTTGGAAATGGGGTTAAAGAACAAATATATATATTATTTTTTTCATGGCCTTCAGCCACAGCAAAGTAATTTTTGTGCTTGGTCCCTGCAACATCAGAAATTGCTGTTAATCTTTTATGTTTTTGACAATTTCATTGGGATTTTTTATTTTTCCCTATAACCCTTCATATTCTTATGCTGTGACTTCACATAAACTAGTTTCTGTTGTGATGAGCTCTTTTTATTTTGGTGGAGACAAAAGTGGGATAGTTTTATTTCCTCTTAATTTTCTAGTCTTTGTCAGGCATGTCCAGAACCCAGCTGAGTTTTAGTCCTAAAAATGAGATTAAAAACACTGGAGGAGAGCATCTACTCCTTACATAATATTAAAAAGCCAAGCTTTTTTTACATTTTGTTTTGAGCAAGGAAACATTTACAGGGAATTGGTCTAGTTGAATCACTGGCTGTTTTCAGTGTCTTGACAGCTCCCCAGGCAAGCCTACAGCACAGTGTTTGAGGCAGGTATTTGGAAGGTTGCTGTGTGTATTAGGGCAGCAAGCTGTGAATCATGGTGGATTGGAAGAGACATTCACAGTTCCTGTTGCCTGTCATACCAGAAACCCATTTGAAAACCATTGTCCTTTCTCAGGGGTTGGGCAATGAGAGATTTTAATCTAAAGAAGACAAACACCAAAACAAGCAAAGCTTCCATTTCTTAACCAAGATCAAGGTGGCTTGTGGTCTGAGCAGATCACACATGAGAGAGTAATCACATACAGAATCTTTTGTACTTGGTAGAACATAAGGTTTTGAAGTACAGTAAGCTTTCTTCTTCAGACGATGCAGCTGTGTATCTAGTTCTGTGATCACACTTTCATGGGCTTACTGTAAGAGGAATATGGAAGAGGAGAGGAAATGCTGATGGAAGGGTTGTTTTGAGTTTAGTGATCATGTGCTCTGAATGATCAGCAAGTTTTTGTGCTGTTTTTGTAAGTGCTTTAATTTTTCTTTATTTTCATTTGTGGACTTCTTTTATTTCTTTCATTTGGTTTACAGTTGCTAGTAAATGCAGTTGTTCCCACTTGAATCCCTTTGGCCTGGTGGCATTTAGAGTGCTAATGATGTGGAGTATATCTTCCCACTGGAACAGGTGCTGCAGTTGAGACTGAGACTTAGTGATCGTGTACAAATGGTGTGAACTATGCTTACTGCAAATGTCCCCTAGCTGTCGGTGTTGATAGAATTGTTATTTTTAGCTGGCTGTGATTTTAGACATCAGAAGGCGACACAGGCCCTGAATTGTACAACGCACGTTGTAGAGTGCAAGCAAAGCACTTTTTGAGGACAACCTACAAGAACTGAAAACTTGTGCTGTGTTGTTATGCTGAGCCACCTGGGAAATGAGAAACCTTGAGAAACCAAAAAACTACCTAAAATATTCATTATGTTTATTAATGTAGCTTTTCTTCACCTGTTGACTTCAGAGAGTTCATATGGGGCGAGTGCTTTCTTAACTGCACAACAGAACAGTTTCTTGACTACAATGTCATAGTGTCTCCAGTTTTCTGGAGATTTCTAGTCTGGAGTTCAAGCCTAGAGTTAAAGAAAATATCCTGCAGGTTGCAAGAAGTGAAGAGATTTTACATGTTTAATGTGTTTCAATTTTTCTAAAATAAAACTTAATCGCAAATTAAAGAAATACCATAATGCAGACCTTTAGGATTTTTTGTGCTGTTTAGGAATATGGTGTATACACTTACACTGGCTTTCTTGAGCATTTTGTAGGACAAAAGAATGTGAAGCCATTAGTGACAAACTGTTGCAGGCGATACATTTGTCTGTAATTGTTTCATAGCAACAGATTGCCTGTACAGTCTGTGCAAAGCTCTTAAGTTTCACATGTGTTGGGTACAGTGCCTGCTGGGATTCACAGTCTACATTTTACAGTGAGACATTTCTGTTGCTCAGACAACCTACATTTGACAGCGGACAAGGAGTTTACTAACAGCAAAAAAGTGTCTTACATCTGTAACTCCAGCAGTGCTCCTGTCTGGGTGATGGTAGCTGTGTAGTAGGCTTGTACTTTAATTGCAATGGCAGATCTGAGTGTGATTAGCTTACATTGGCCAAGAATAAGATGGTGATCTAGCCAGTTGGCCTTTAGGAATATAATGTATACACTTACACTAGGATGGTTTTATGAAGTATTTTGAAAAACAAAAAGTGAACCCGTTTGTCACAAATTTTTAGCAATACATTTAAGCCTTTAAGTCAACTGCCTTTGAAGTGCTTGCCTTAAAGTACTAAATATGGGTCTACTAAAAGTAGTTTTGGCAGTTTAACTGGTTGTTTTGTTGATATTTCTAGCTGTTGCTTATTTCTTTCTACCTCTCTTTTTTTGTGGCACCCTGACTGATCTTTTATTTGTCACTTGTGCAGACTGTCAGAAGAGCAGAGTAATGCCATGTAATTTTTTGAGAGTTAAAGAGAAATAATCTTGGACATAATGGGAGAAAGACAGGGGAAGAAACACCGTTCTCCGACAGTAGCAGCTCTCTTTGTGGCGTGTTCTCGAAGGCTCTGACACAGGCGTTTGTGTAATAATCAGGAGCACTTTTCCTTTAAGCCCAAGGCAGTTTAACACTGTATCCCCTCCTGCTCAGATTGGTGCACACATGAAGCGTGGGCTTGGGCTAATTTGTGTGACTGCAGAAAAGCAGTTACATATGGCTGAGTTAACCTGTAGGTCTGGTTCTATCTCTGATTTATCATACTGCTTACTCCTGAAGAAGCTGAGAGTGCAGGCCAGGGGTAACTTAAATCCCACGGTTGTACTATATTCTTCATTCAGCATGCAGTCATAGAGTCCTTGAGGATTTTAGAGGTGCTGCTATTCAACCCTGTGACTACAGAAGGATCCAATGAAAGATAAGTGGGGGTGAGAATTATCCAATTTATGTGAATTGAAGAGTATACTGTGAATTTCGACATTTAAAAGTTCAGATTTTACCCCAGCCAAGGTTACATAAATGAAAAAATCCCTTTTCTTTGACAAGTCTAAGCAGTTAGTTTTTTTTTTTGCTGAGCTATAATAGTGGCATATTTAAAGGTGTGAATAGTCCTAATTAGTCAGATTTTTTCAGCCACAGCTTGCATTTGTGAATTATTTTCCTCATAACTAAGCAAATCAAAGTTCTTCTCAACTGTATGACACCAGCACCTACATACTGAAGATCTCTTGTTCTGCTCCAGCCTCACCCCACAACAGAATGGGGTCAGGAAATGAACATCTCATTGCACATCATGCACCTTTCTAATCCACTACACTAGTGAAAAGAGCCGAGTGTGAGGCACAATTGTGATGGTATTGGCATTTCTTTTGATACAGGAAGAACAGAACCGGGGCAAACCCAACTGGGAGCATTTAAATGAGGATTTACATGTTCTGATCACCGTGGAAGACACTCAGACCAGGGCAGAGATCAAGATGAGGAGGGCCGTGGAGGAGGTGAAGAAGCTGCTAGTACCTGCGGTGAGTAACGACACCAGTTGGCACCTGTAATGGAAGAGTTCTACTGGAGCAGAGCTGGGCGGCATGGTGGAACAGTGGTTAGCATTGCTGGGATCAATTTCAGGGCTGCCATTTACATGGAGTTTGTATATTCTTCCTGTGTTTATGTGTGTTTCCACCAGATGGTCCAGTTTCCTACCAAATTCCAGAGACACGCTGGGAGGTTAATTGGCTTCTGGGACAATTGGCCCTGGTGTGAGTGAGTGCGTTTGTGGCGGTCTGCCCTGTGTTAGCCTGAGATCCCTTGCCTTGCACCCATGGCTTGCTGGGATAGGCTCCGGCTCCTCTGCAACCTTGAATTGGATAAAATGGATCGATGGAACAGAGCTTGGATAAAAAAAGCTGAAAGCAGTCACATTTAAGTGTTAAGTGGGTTTCAGAAAAATGTTTTGATCTAGAATTTTTTTTAAAGTTTTGCAACTTCTCCCATTGTCATTGAGCATTACTTGAGGTTCGCTTGTCAGCAAGTTTCTATTCAGATGTCTGAGATGCAGAGCAGAATAAGTTGACAGCTGTTAAGGCTGGGAGCCCCGGTGAGGCGGTGAATGGCAACACTGACCTCCTGAAAAGCATCCAGGCTGTGGAGGCCAGAAGTGATTGTTTATTTCAGAAGCTGCTATGTCTGAGGCCCTTCTGCATTAATGTGATTGTGCTCACAGCGGGTTTGGAATAATTTAATCAAAGTTTCTTAATCCCACTAATGCAAGGTTTACATTTTGTCTTTCTTCTTTTTTTTGTGTATGTGGCAAGAGTCCCACCATTATATACCACCAGGGATCAGTTTGTGCGATGGGTTCTGGAATTGTAATATAGGGATACGTCTTTTATCTGCTGTATCCCTACCAGCGCTGCTGCAGTTAATTCCTTGCATTTAAATATAGTGCCTGTCTATAGGAAGGGACCACTTTACCCGCCACTGAAGTGCAGTTCAAGCAGAGAAGTGTGAAACTGTTTTGCCAGTTGAATTAAGGGGAAACATCAGTAAACTAGATTATACAAACCCAGAGAGGAATTTAGACAGTGGAATAATTCTGTTAAATTCAGAGCTCCATTGCAAGCAAAAAAAGTATTTGTGTGGAAGATTTCTTATTCTCTGCATTTTCTCATGCAACCTTTACTGTTGGAATTCAGCGAGATGTACAACGTGTCCGGGGAGCAAGGAGTTACAGGAGGACATGCCAAGATTCTGATGTTCGTATGTTTTGCTTTCATTCTGACAGAAGCAAAACCAAAAAAATTAATCCAATGAGAAAGCAGTTTTCTCACTAAAGCAGAATCGAAATCGTCTGCCGATGTCAAAATTGGTCTTGCAAGCAGTTTAGTTCTTCCTTTTAAAGCTGCAATAAAAATATAGTCATTGGTGTGGGTGCTACTTAATGAGAAGGCCTGAGAGCTAGTTGGCCATGGGATATACTTTGCATATGTGGTAACTAGAATAGGCATTCAGTGTCTCCAGGTTATAATGATTTCAGCTCTGGTCTGTGTGAAAGTAGTGCAGGGAAAGATTATCTTCCCTCAACAGGTACAGCACAGAAAATCAGACCTGCTCTGCTCTCTCACAGTACTTTGAAATCTTGGAAAAAACAACGTGATGAAATCCTACATGAGACCTTGTCATGCATTGCTATATATATATTCCTGCATTGATGACTTGTTCCTCATTAATATACGACTATCATAAAATGTATTCCTGTATGTCAGTAGGTACAATACTTCCTTCCACCTTATGCCAGATTGGAGGCCTTGACTTCTGAGTCTTTGACGCATATCAAAATGTTCTGCTGTGCTTTCCCTTTGTGACACAACCCAGATTGGTAGCAGTTTAGCATTAAAAGTGTTAAAACTAAAAGCACTTTGCCTCCTGGATCCATCTCCTGTTGTTTTGCCATTGTTTTTTCAGTGTTCTATAGCCCCTCACTCCAGAGCTCCACTGCTCAGTGTGGAGGAAGTAATTGGGGGGTCCCAGGTCATGGACAGTGAGCATGCACAGCTGTGCTATATACATTGCACAGTATTCAAAGAGAAAGGGAATCCGCTTTCAGCTGTTAAGTAATTATTTAGGCTTATGTAGTTTAGGCCTTGCTTATAGGACATGGGCAGCTGAAACTGGAAATAGATGGGGAGGAGTGAGGGTAGGAGGGCACTTAAGCAAAATCTAATTTCTTTTAACATGCTGAAATAAATTTGATTAAGCCATTGAGGAGTGAACTCAGTAGGTACATGAGTTTAACGAAGGGCTTCTCTTTTCTATTCAAAAGCGTGAAATTGTCTTTATTAAATTGCTCAGGAAACAAATAGGGTCTCAGGCATCTTTTTCCAGCAAAGGAAGATTTAATCGCTTTGCTTTGAATTCCTTTTAAACATGCTGCAGCTGTTTGTACGTTTGGAGCTCAAGTGAATCCACACAAACATGGAATTGCTTCTAACTTTTGCATTAAAGTGGTAGGAGCGCTGCATATTTTAGGTTCTGCTAGCTTTTGCAGTTATGAATCCTTAACGCCCACCCTCTGGCCATCAAAGGGTCCACTTTGGAAGCCTGTGCTGTTCTCTGCGTTTGATTTTGGCAATAGGGATTTCTAGGCTGAAGGAAGAGAAGCATAGACCTCAGGCACCTAACATTTGTGTCAAAAACAAAGACATTCAGTGACATTCGGATTGGCAAAATACCCACTGCCAACTAACAGAAAGTCATGACCCTTTATAACCGAGAGAGGAAATTAGTGAAACCTTGTGTATTCACAAATTTCCACCCTATTTCCAATCTGTCACTGGATTTGCCAGATGTCATGTGGCTGAAAACTGCATGTCACGGGATCAAATTAAATTATCTCGCTATTGGCATATTCAGGCACAAAGGATGTACTAATTAATTGCAGCTACAGCTTGCATAGTCTTTACATAAGTATTTAGAGAAACATATTAAGCATACCAGCAAGACTAAAGTTATGGCACAGACTTGCATGTTGCAGTTAAACAGAAGTTGGTACAGAGGTAAAAGTGAGTGTTGTGTTCAAGAATGTTTGTTTGGGGGAAAAAAAAACACTGAAAATCACATCCTGTAAATTTGAGATGTTATGTTCTTGGGTCCATGGTATAGTAACCAAGGGGTCTGTTATAATGAGGATGGCGGAGAAAATGCAGATATTGTGGCAGGATTGCATGAGATGATTCTGTAAGCAACAGATAACCTGCTCTCTTTGATCTGTCTTAGCTGTTGTGAACAGACAAGAAGGGGCACACAAAGTTCCAGACAGTAGCAGAAATGATGGAGGGCAATGTCAGTGCAAATCAATAAGTTGGAGTCTAGGGGACTGGGCCTGCTAGAGATTGTAAAGGGCTCGTTAGCAACAGAACTGCAGGGTCTTCTGAGGGCTCTTCTGTTCTGATGTTTAACTAGATAGGCAGTATACACATGTTCAAAGAGATAATTGCATAATGAGTCATACAGAAAAAATGCCACAGTTCTAAATGCTCCCACTCCTTATGTTTTTAACTACCAGAAAGCTCCTAAATCATTCAGAAATCTTAAGTTTCAGCTGCTCAGGAATGTGACACGAAAAGATATTTCTGTGAGTGATCGCGACAGCCATGCCTGAGCATCATGGTGTGTGTGTAGCTCTGCTCTTCGTGTATTTGTGTAGGCGTGATTTTTGTTAGAAATAAATGTGCTTTTTGCAATGTCTAAAGAAACCAAATGAACTTGCACAAAGGGAGTCCTCTTTGCAATAATTTAAGAACTGAATGTTATTAAGGTAGACCAGATTCTGTGTTCATCTTTATTTCAGTTTCCCTTGGAACATTTTGTCAGTAGATACCGCCTAATAGATCAAACACCACCTAACAGACGGATACAGATCCATTGAGAAGGGGGAAGGTAAATGTGAAGAATGGCCTACTGCAAACGGGAGGCATCTTGCCTTTAACTTGCTGCAGCTCTTTTAATTAGTAAGCCACATTAAGAAACGTTCTCTAGCCTGACCTGTAAGTGGCAGGGATTTATGTGAAAAGTGGGGCAATTGGCCTGCATTTCTCTGCAAGCAGCGACATGCTCTTTTCAAAACCTAGGCTGCTTTTTTCTCTTCACTCCAAAGTGGCATCGGTTGTTCATATATATGAACAAAAGGTAAAGTTTTGCATAAGACAAGTACAACAGAAAATACAATATAAAAACATGAATTTCTACTGGCCCTAGGTATGTCCAATATTTACTTAGTTTTAAACCTACTTCAGGTAGGTATATATATATACAGTGGATGTTTCTCCCATTTACAGTAATCCTTGTTACATGAGCTTAATTCATTCCTCAAAAACTTGTATAACAGAAATTAAATTACCCATTGGTTATAATTACCCATTATAACCAATATAATGGTTTCAGAACTCAAAACCATTTCCTCAAACACCAAAACTACATCTAAATACAACACTGAATGGTATCTCCGTATAAAAAAGCATAACTTGAGTGATAAATGATTCAAGTAACATGCTTGAAATCATTAACCAAGGCATAAACAATAGATAGGAAAACAAAAACATTCCTGTTCATTTACAGTGCAGTAGATGCATTGTTAGTCATTAGCAAATGCATAAACATTTATATAGTACTATCCTGTACTGTATCACTTAAGACACACAAGCCTTTATTATACAGAAGTTAAAATCTCATAAAAATTGAAGTAAATTCCTCATCCAAGAACAAGCAAGAAAAAAGAAGAACAATACTTTACAAGGGCCCAGAGTCAATTTCAACATTGACAAGAGTCAACATCTGTTCATTAAATAAAAAAAGGAATTTCTACTTTATAGTATAAACAAAAACTTGCATAGCGAGGGATTGCTGTATTGTTTCCCAAAATGCTAGGAAAGGACTTCAGGACTGCACTGCAGGCCCTGTCCAGAGCCGCTTGTGTTGAAGTTTAGCAGGCCCCTGCAGAGTCGAGTGTTTTCAGCGATGTGCGCAG